ACAGGGACACGTTAGCTGGAGCCCTCTGACCTTGGGATAATTGTGCTGTCCTTCCCAGGTAAAGGAAAATGTGCTTTCTAAGACCAGTATGACTACAACCCATGGGATATTCACATTACAATCAATAGGGTATTTAATTGAATGGGATAACTTACATAATTCAGAAAATCAAAATAACTTTTCTATTATTTTAGCAAACAAATAAGTACAGAAACCAAACAGCAGGGTTAAAGTTAAACTATAGTTTCTACCTGAGATGATTGCTACCATACTTCATTGGAACACATTCTAAGCAGAAGAGTTTTTACAGGAGTATGGAGGGGTGAAAGAACATGACTTGATAGCAATGATGAGAATGTCTCCAGGCAGATGCCTATGTATGAAAGAGAGGCAAGGAAGAACGAAGGTAGGTTTGTACCAGTTGGAAAGAGTCTTACATGCCGTGCTAAGGGGTTTGGACTTTACCCTGTAGGTAAAGTTCTTTGGGTAAAATTTGTGATTAAGAGAACTGGCAACAAAATGGATGACAGAGTATAGGAGGGAGAGACTGGAGGCTGGGAGAGACCCGTTAGGAGGCTTTTGTAATAGTATGTAGTGAGTCAACTCCTGTCTCCCTCCTGGAATGTTCCTCCAAAATCAGCTGACTAAACTGTTGCAATACAGGAAGGATGTTTAAATCATGCGCTGAAATCTTTTCTGCTAATGGGAGAGGAATTTGAAGACCTAATAAGTACCATATACATCTTGATTAAATAGGCTCTGGAAGAGTTTTTACTGCCATTGTGTCAATGAGGAAGTGCAGTATAAATTCCAAACAGATGGCACTCACAGGAAAACTTTTCCTTTTAAACGGAGACTAACAAAGGTACCAATGTGTCACTGTGAAAAATAACAAAGGGAATCAGGTATGAAACCTTTTCTGATGTTCTCTTTTCAGGTAGTAATTATGATGCACAGATCTAGAATTAAAAAGAACATTGAAAAAGACTAGCATTCTAAGGAAGATGAGTTTTAAAGTGTAATTACTCATGGTGACTCACTGTAAAATGAACTATGTAGTAAGACCTTAGGTCCACACTAATTTTGTTTTTTGGTGCCAGCAAATTATTTGAATTTGATGTTTGTACTGTACAGGAGAGTGTAGTCTTTTCATTTAAAGACAATTTGGTTTTCATACTTTTAAGTAAAAAGTAAAATGTTTATAATTAAAATATATATAGAACAAATTGTTGGGTTCCAACACAGTTTTCAAAAGCACTTTACATTTTACCTTACCAAAGTGTAAGGTACCTTCATATTTGTGTTTTATTAAAAAAAAAATCTTGGTTTATTATGAATCCTCCCCAAAGAAGCAAGTTCTCAGGAACTGGAGGCTTTTTCTTGGAATAGCCACAAGCACAAATATATGACAAATAGCCTCATGATATATACAGGGTGGCCCCGAAAATATATAGACACATTTTAACAACTGGTAGTTTAGTTTTGAAAATGAAATGTGTTTTAATAAACACTGCCTTTATTTTTTTCTTTTTACAAAATATATTTTTATTGATTTCAGAGAGGAAGGGAGGAGAGATAGAAACACCAATGATGAGAGAGAAATTGGCTGCCTCCTGTAGGCCCCATACTGGGGAACTAGCCTATAACCCAGGGTGTGTGCCCTGACTGGAATTTGAACCATGACCTCCTGGTTTATAGGTCGATGCTCAACTATTGAGCCACACCGGCCAGGTAACAGTGCCTTTATAATAATTCAAAGCGTGTGTACATTTTTTGGTACACCCTATATATATAGGTAAATATATATATATATGTATATGTGTGTGTGTATATATGTGTATAATGTGTGTGTGGGAAATACTCTGAGTGAATTATTTAATATTCTAAGCAAAGTGTATATATATATATATATATATATATGTATTTCCCCCTTAGTATATAGCAGAGTCTTCAAGTTATGCCATCCGTTGAGTCCATGCTATGGGACTGACTGCCTCATTAGTAAATCTGATGCTCTTAGTATCTCAGTAACTAACCCCCCCAAGACCTTTAAAAGTTGGATTGAACTTTGAATTGAATAATATTGTTCTTAAAGAGATTATTTTTCATTTTGTGTCACTGTTATTTTAGTAGACTTATTTTTCCAACATGATCAGGTATAGGATGCTTTTTGAAATATCTTTTTTTTTAAATGCTTTATTTTTTTATTATTTTTTTAAATATATTTTTTTATTGATTTTTTACAGAGAGGAAGGGAGAGAGATAGAGAGTCAGAAACATCGATGAGAGAGAAACATCGATTAGCCGCCTCCTTCACGCACCCCATGGGGGATGTGCCGGCAACCCAGGCACATGCCCCCGACCGCAATCGAACCCGGGACCCTTCAGTCTGCAGGCCGACGCTGTATCCACTGAGCCAAACTAGTTTCGGCATGAAATATCTTTTAAGAATAAGTTAAGGAACCTGAGTTCACTTAATTTGGTCAGTTTTAAAATATGCAGTTGTTTGTGTATTTGTTTACATTTAG